AAAGTTTATGTTATTACACATACAGGTAAAATGGAAAATTAGTTAGGACATTCCACTTGGGACCATTACTGCTGCCACCTTCTGGTTAACTGGGGAACTGCTATTTCCAAAGGTGATGTATTACATGCACAAGGTAACAACAAATTACCTTGTAGGGTTGCCAATGATTGGCTAAGTGTAGCCTGGTCACCCCTGGCCCCCCATCTAGTTACACCCTTGGTGGGATCAAACCAAAGATACAGTGGGATTTCAGGAGTTTTCTTATGCTACTGTGAAACACAGTGAGAAAAGTGAAGGTTACTCATAAGTGAAGCAATATGAAGGAATCTCTTTATTCCTTTTTTTAATAGTATATACATTAATAATTTTTGGAGTTTAACGTTAATTTATAAACTTTACACTCTAGGAATGGTTTGCATCAGAGCTGACATGCATAAAACACCTGCATCCATTTTAGACGTAGCCATTGTCACTGCTGTGAAGGACTTTGCTTGTTTTCCGTGTGTCTATTTCTCCTGGTATTCTGGGCCCCTACCCTAGTCCCAAAGCATTTATGTCAGGTAACAAAGGTGCAAAAAAAAAGAAGCCCTTTGGTGGATGTATGTCCATGCATGTTTATCTCTTTGTAACTCTGCAATGCCCTGTGATGAACTCCTAACCTGCTGCAGGACCCCTCCTTGACTGCTAGAGATAAACATCAAGCTTCATCTATTCTAAAGTAGTCCTGCTTTTTCTTCTTTACCTGTTATTTGGTGACCTCAAGGCCTGGCAATATTAACTATATACTAAATATGCTACTTTCTGAAAAATACTCACTCAAACCTTTAACCTGACCCACGTTTAGGGTAATAAACCTGATGAAATAAGGAATTTGTTTCTTCTTTTTTCTGCTAATAGTTTTCAAACACTAACTATAAGCAATCTTTTAAGTCACAATTTCCTATAGATTATTAAGAATTTGCAGCAGGAAAGAAATTTATATTTTGTTCCTAATATTTCCCACTTCAACTTACTTTAGAAAAGTATTTTTAAAATATTCAATTAAAGATAATTTTACACTATCTCTGGCCAAATATAATATGAATACAGGACTCTTTCACGCATGCATCGCTTTGCTGCTGCAAAGAACCACAGCGCCCATGTTTGTCTTCAGCATGATTCCTTATAAATATCAACTTTTTTTTTTATTTTCCAAGTGACTCAAGCTAACGGACCGTGGCAGGATTTCATCGTCAAGGACCATGAAGGCTTTTGTCAACAAAGCCTCGTATGTCAGCACATTAGCAGTGAGCTAATACACTTTGGCACTTTCTAAAAGTGTTTGCTTTCCTCTGAAATCAAGCAGCTGCTGGAGCATAAAACTGGTTATAAGGATCACAGAGCGATATTATTACATTTGTTAGTTAGAAAGAAGATAAGGTCACAAAATTATTTATTATCTGTTGGCATAAGGAGGTTTTTAAAGGGGCGTATGGATTTCATTGCTGTTTTTTCTTTTGTTATTACCATGAAACTGGAGTATTTTACAAAGTGATTGAATTAAGACTTTCTTTGTTTTCAGTTAAAAATCTTTAGAAGATTCAGTAGCTGCCTTAAATGTTGACTCCATTGAGCGTAAAGAGAGTGTGGCAGGCAGCTCTGTGCAAAGAATAGTGCTTGATAGGAAGCTTGATAGACCTGGAGCCTTGTGTGTTTGATCATCTCTTGTGGTGACATTTTATTGGATAAGGACACAGAGCTTTGGTGGAGGGCAGAAACAGATCGAGGAGGCAAAAAAAAAATGTTAAGCACCTGTATGAAAACACAATGCATAGATAGGAAAACAGCAAAGAAAGGAATTTTTCTAAAATGGGCCAAGTCACGTCTTCAAGGCCTGTAAGGCTGAAAGATGAAAGCAAGATGGAGTAGAGGAAATGGGGGTTGAGGAGGCGTCACCTGGAGAGCTGCCTGCTTATTGACAGGATCCTAACCAGGCAAGACGCCCTGAAAAACTGACTTCCACTGGCACTGTGTCGGGTTGTTGGGGATGACTGCCTCTGCAGACAGCTGTTTCCAACCAGGTCATTAAATTGCTCTGAGCAGATATGGCTTACGCAGACAGATGCCAGTCATCTGGGTGTTTCCGTTAAGGTTTGGGAAAACCACGCCTCTGTGAAATGCCGTATTTGTCAGCAGGAGCTGCAGGTACAGCCAAGACTAACAAGAGGCCAGCTTTGTGCTCACAGTTCAGTGGAAACAAGAAATTCGGTGCGATGAAGAAGAGACGAAGCACAGCAGGGAGCATTTCCTGTGACGTTTGCGGCTATGATGGCTCATTTACAGGCAGGCAACCTGAATGATATGTTTACTGCTCTTCTAAACAGGCTGTTTTTTGTTATGACTGAAATGATAAACACTTCCACGATAAACTGGATGCGAAGATAGCCAACTGTTTACGACTGTCTGGTGTGTAGGTGGCAAGGATTCACAAGGACAACAAAGAGACCTAAAAAAAAAAAAACTAAAAAAAAAAGAGCGGGGAGTAAAGCTACAAAACAGGAATGATTGTTTTCCTAGAAGAATGCAGCTGAGTTTAAGCCTATGAGTTGATATCATCCTGCTTATAGCTCACACACACACATAACAATCATGGCAGAGAGTAGTAGGCTACACCCTGATTTAAACAAAGGCTTTTTTATGTGAAAAAGAAGAATTATGTTGTCTTTAGCAGATCGTAAAACTATTTCTATAACCAACTTTAAACAGACTCCAAACTGTCATTACTAATGAAACACAAACAGAGCCAATAGTAAGATGCCTCAAAACACACACAGCAAAAATTGAAATCTAAATGAGTCATTTTTCCTTAAAATAAGTAATTTTTTCTTAAAATATGTGCATTTTTTCTTAGATTGAGGAAGTAAGTGAGACGTGTTGCAAATGGAAGAAGACATTTTACATTTAAAATAAGACAAAACAATTGCATTGTCTTATTTCAAGTGCATATTACCCATTTATCTTATTAGTAAGAGTAAAAATACTGATTCCATTGGCATAACATTTTATTTACCTACTGAAATTAAGAGTAAATACATTTGATTTAAAAAAAATTTACTTATTTCTAGGTCATTTTTGCAGTGCAGGTTTAGTAACTTGACAATTTCCATAGCCTTTATCAGTCTCTAAGATGCTTTTTATGCAATACTGTTTAATTGCTAGCATGAAGCCTTTATCATCAGCTGTTGAATAAAAAGACAGGATAGATTAATTTAAGGATGACTCAGAGACTGCATATAAAGGACATAATATCAAATCATATTTATTTTAAGGGTAAAAATTCTCATTCAATTGACAGATCAAATTAAGGCCTGGGAGATGTGATACATTTTCCAGGAAATCCACTCCTATGAAGAGCTGTAGTAAAAGTTATTTAGAAAGTTATTTTATATCCTCACTGCAAAAACGGACAAAAAAAAAAGTTAGAATATCTTGAAGTCTATTTTACCCTAATTTGAGCCGGTAAACAAGGTAATCTAATAGAAAAAAATGTTATTATCGATTTAAATTCTATTTGAATCATCCTAGAACCTGATAAAGATTAGATAATTGCTTATTTTCTTAAGATCCAGTTCTGTGAAAGTGCACCCCATACAGTTTTTGTTTTTTTTTTTTACTTTTTTTCCTCTAAATATTTCAGATGAGCAAACAAATCAGAAAAAAAATAAACAGAATACGGACAAAGAGTAGCTTTTAACACATGATATTATTTCTTAGTAGAAAAAAGCTTTCAAAACCGAATTAATTGCTCCTAAACTTTAGGCTACAGCCCAGTTTATGAGGTTCGGTAAAAAAAGGCTGAACTCAAGGTGAATCTGGACCAGAGCAAAGCTGAAACCCAGTGCTGTCTGCTAGGTGAGGGCAAAGTGAGCTTAAATAGAAGGAGAACAGCAGGTTCAGCCACCCCTCTTCACCTGAAAGACACAGAGAGGCTGGAGTCCTCACTCTTATATCTATTTACTTGGGAACAGTTGCTGCCATTAAGCATGAATTGGTTATAAAACTGATGCCTAAAGCAGCAAAACTCCCCCACAGCATCACTCTACAGCCACTGTGTTTGGCTGCCAGACTGATGTTTGTTTTCTAAAATCTTAATTTAATCCTGGATATTACAAGATACCGAACTTGCAACAGATTTTATTTTAACCTCATCAATATACAACATATTTTTTTTACCAAGACTCTTTTAGATAGATGTTCTTTTTATTTTGCATGTCTTAGATTCTTATTTTTCCGTAGCGGTCATCAATGGTTTTCACCTAAAAACTCTCTCATCAATGCATTTTTTGCCCAGTCTGTTTGCTGTCCTGACTTTTTAATCCTTTCCACAGTAAATGATATTTAAATTTTCTTTTTGATCATTGAAATCTTTTAGTTTTATTTCAATGATTTAATTATTTTACTTGGCTTGCAGAAATCAGTTAGTTTGGATAATTAAATCGAAATCTGATTTCCATAAAATGCAGTTAATCAAAATTAGTTTTTTGATTTGTATATTTAAATGTATATTTATTTTACGCTGTGATCCATGTTGGTTTAGAAGCTGTTATGATCACTGAAGGAAGTCATATTTTCGAAAATCTTATTTTTACATTGATTTTTGTTACCTTTGTCTGATAGTATAGGAAGAAAGAAAAATCTGTAAAACAGAAACGATTTCTATAACATTGCAAACAAAGTAGGTTGACCTAATATAAAAACAAAATATATGAGTTTTTTCTTGCATGTCAAATAGCCATGGAAAATCAAATATTTGTTTTCACTTATAGCGTTTATGAGACAAGGCAAACAGGATAAAAAGAAAGTGTGACACGACTGTAAGTAATGATCCATGTGGAAAGTGGTATTATGATGCTGAATGAATCTTCCTTTAAAAGTGCAGAAACAGCAGAACAAATCCAGGTTTCTTCATATCAAACCTTTACAATAGAGAAGTAAAACTACTTTTTTTTTTTTTTTTTTGTAGGCCCGTGTCTTAGCTTGTGCTGGTATTGATTTCAAACTTTAATTCATCCATGGAGGGTTCTTCATACTGTCGTTTGGCACCGCCCTGCTCCACGTGCACACATGGGAGCTGTAGTCATCAGTTTTTATGGATTAAAAAATAGCTACCGTGCTCCCTCTCAGATGCAGGTCTGTGGCATCTTACCTTTGGGTGGTTTGAAACTTTAATGCGTAATCACAAGGAAACCCCATGAGAAAAGCTGCTCCCTAAAATCATAAAGCATTATTGCATCTTTTTTCATAATGGCCACAAATAAACAAACAGCCAATCGCTGAAATAACCCAACAAATGACAGAGAGGCGAGAGAAGGAGAGATGTTTGTCATTGTTTCAAAAAAGTCACAATATCTTTTAATATAAAACACTTTTGTTTTTAACATAATGAGGAATCCATTATCGGGGCCAATCCACTACCACTCGAGCACTGCAGCTGGGGAGGAGGTCCACCTCGACCGCAGCTGACTTCAGCGGTTCCTCTGAGTGCACACAGAAAAGGATTGAAACATGCATTTTACTACATTGTATAAAGTCATAAGCGAAAAAAAAAAAAAGAAAAAAATCGGAGGCTGTATATGTTCCATCAATGGCAATGAGCCTCCTGCCGCCTTGTACAGGAGTGTTGGGGGGAGGGGCAGTCTTGGTAGTTGGGCATGTACAGAGATGTCCGTTTGTTTCCTGGCACTTAGTGGGGAAAGTGCCCTCTTCTCTGTTAGACCGACAGCTGAAGGAAAAGCGGAAACTTGGTGTAAGGCAGGATATGACTCAACAGACTTTAGATTTCTTAGATAACACTTGCAGACTTGCTTAATTTTTGACAAACAGCATCTAAGTGCGGCTCCTGTGCTCTGAGGTCCGCACGGTGTTATTTGTAGCTCCTGACAGTAACATTTAGCCGTCTCTGTCTATGTTCGCTCCCCCCAACATGTTGCTGGTGGTGATCAATGAGTGAGGAAGGACATTGTCAACCCAGTCTCTCCCTGCAAAGCAAGCACCTTTTTCCTCTGTCTAAGATCTCCCAGGTAAGTGAGAAGATTTTAGGAGAAATTTAGGAAATTCCTCACTTTTTGTCCTTTTAATACTGACGGCTCTTGGAATACAGGCATTTCATTCCAAACTTTGTCCCTTTCCCCTCCCTCCCTGTTTCTTTTCCAGACACACATTCACACCCACACGGTCACACAACAGAAGCCACAGAGGTGACGGAGGTCACCTTATTGTCTTCTGCCCAAGGCTGCAAGTTCTGCAGAGCGTAGAGGGAGGAATTATGCAGGCAGAGGGGATCTGGCTGCAGCGGCTGGCTCAACGTCTTCTGGAAAGCTTCCTGCTGAAGCTGCAACATCAGCCGGTTGGCCTGCTGCCTCTCCGCCTCTCTTTCCTCGGCAGTTTGTCTCCTTTGGGAAGAAGGAGATGGATGATGTGAGGAGAAGCATTAAAAAAACTAAATGATGTTAAGGTTTGTTAGGCATGCACAAAAAACAAAAAAACTATTATGTAACAGCAATGTCATTTAATGTATTTCTTTTACTTTTTAAAAATAAAAATAAAATAAAATACAAAACATGTAAACATACATAAATAATTCTGTAGTTGTTTTGTAGTTAGGTCTTGAAATTATTAGTTTAAGAATAAGGGAAAAGTATAAGAACATTTCAGATATTTTTCTCTTAAAATGTACGTCATAAATATATTCTTAAAAAATGACAAATATATATTTTTTGCAAAAATTAAAAAAGAGAAACATACAAATTTTTTCCAATAAAAAAGACCAAAATGATAGAATAAGATTTAAGAAACATTTATTAAAATAATACATCTTCTTTTAAAAACGTTTTAGTTTTAAATACTTAATGTAAATTATTCTAAACAAGAAATAAGAAGTATGCGTTTTTAGTACTTATTCAAATATAAACCTAAGGGGTTGTCCACAGTTTAGATCATTTTTACAAGTGTACAAAACATACACTTAATGCATTTAAATTAATATTCAATTGGTTGTTTTATTTGATCATTTCCTTATTTTATCAGTAACAATTATTTTAGTTTCTAATAATTCTTTTTTTCGGCGATAATAAGACAGAAATGGGGGGAAAAAAGTCAGCATTTTTTGTACATTTTTTGGGGAGGGATTTACCATAAAGTGTTGAAAATTGTCAACAACCCCTAAATCCTTACATCACATAGAGCTAAAACCTAAATATATAATAGCTTTAAGTTTCTGTCGCTGCTGATACTGATAGTGAATGAAAAAGAAAAACACAGAAATGGTGCGTCCTGTATGTAAATTCCCAATTAGATGATTATTGATGGCTTTCTGAAAATGGGTCTGATGCCATGCTTAGAGCAAGGATGGGAAAGCTGAGGGAAACATGCTGCAGGTGAGAAGCTGCTAATAGCAAACTTCCTTGCTGCATCAGAATATTTATTCAGCTCCTGTGCAGCAGGATTTAGCCCCAGGCCACGACGGCTGCTGACTGACATGTGTGACAGGAGTTGGTGTGGTGAAAAGCGGCAGCTGACAGAGATGTGTGTGTGTGTGTGTGTGTGTGTGTGTGTGTGTGTGTGTGTGTGTGTGTGTGTGTGTGTGTGTGTGTGGTTGGGGGGGGGATTCTGCCTCAAGGAGAAAACTCACATCTGCTTTACTGTTTGTTTCAGAGCGACACCAGTAAAGCATATCCTGCTTATCCTGTATATCCGGTACGTCCATTAATTGAAGAGTTTATCCTGATGTGGATTATTTGAGTCCCAAATGATGCCTCCATTTCCAAATGAAATTTCAATTTTATTCACCATTTATATGATTAAAGATGTAAATATAATAATCAGATTAATCTTTATGCTCGTTTCATGATGTCTGTACAAATACCAGCCAATCTTATGAAAATGAGCAGGGGAGACTGAATGACAGGTAAGATGCAGAAGCAGGAGCACACCTCTGCACACCCCCTGCTTCATGCACACCAACCTCCATCCATTAGCCACACATTATTGTTAACAGCATTATCATAATCCGATTCCCCGGCTGTTGATTCGATCATCGTCTTGTTACCAGCATGGTCGTCACGCAAAGACATCCCTCACGCTCATCCGATCAGATGCAAGACTAACAGGGGGGGACCGTGGCATAAATCTTAGCAAAAGTAGGAAATCAGGAAAACCAGTTAAACCAATTCCCCTGGTACACTTGTGACATGCAGCTCAGTCAGGATTCGCTTTGCTGCCGTTTGATTATGAGCAGACTCGTTTTATTACAACCTGCAGTCTCACAAGGATGATGTAAGCTTTGGATGTTTTTTCCTTTCTTTTTTTTAAAGCAGGTATTTTAATTTATTTTAAAAAGTATCCATACAGTACAAAAAATAATAAGTCTGATATATAGCCTATAAATAATATAACTAGTGATCATTTTGATTGGGGGAAGCATGGCTATTGAGATTACTTTTCTCTTTTTTCTGTATATACATTTCAGAGAAAAGCAATATTCTGTAGAAATCCCCTTAATAGGATATGCAGCTGTATGGAGGGTTAAAGGGGTCAAAATAAAACTAAGAAATATAGAATGATGTAAATATATATATATATATATATATATATATATATATACAGATGTAAATATATTATGAAATAACAAAATGTACTATTTAATTATTAAATGTACCATTTAGTTAATTCATACATTAGCATACTTAAATGTACCATTAAAATATTAAATTTAATATTAAATAATTACATTGGTCATCAATAAATTAAATATGACTGTTAAATTTTGAAATTAAATAATTAAATCATTAAATGTCCTTTTTAAAAATAAATTCATTAGCAAACATTTCATTTTTTTACTCTATTTATTTATTCTATGGCGTCTTCTAATTAAATTATTTCAATTGTCTGCTTCCTCTATTAAATTCAGAGGGCGGGACTAGAGAGACTCTGGTGTCTGATTGGATACTTTTCACTAAACAGGACAAGACCAATTCTTCCCTTCCTTTGTTTAACTCTAAATTTAATATCTCTAATATCTCTTAAAGAGTTGGACATAAATAAAAAAAAAACGTGTTGGAATTTATTTTTTGCACATTTGTTGAGAAACTCCAGCCTCTACATGAATAACTTGATCCAAATAATATATAATAAGCTTTTGAGATAGCTTGCTGTTGTCTGGCATAGAGCTGCCACACAATTCAGCAGAATCAACATAAGTCCCACCCACTGAGTGACACCAGCTCACGTTCTCTGTTAACATTTTTTGGGGCCAAACTGGTCATATAGAGGCTGAAGTTGCACAGTAATCAAAGTCATTTAATGAGTTATTTAATGTTATTTATTTATTTCATTGTAAATCTAATTATTTCATAATATGTTTATTTATTTATTTTTGTTATACATTTAAACACAGTTATTTGATGTTATATCTATTTCATTTTAACTCTCTCTAAAGGTGTGTAATGTGATCATGAAATAAGCAGAAAACCAAGATGCTGGTTCCACACATAACAGCTACAGCATCATTTTTTTGGGATGCTTTTTGAAGCAAACCTGGAATAAAAGCTATTAGTGGCTGAGAGATAGATGAGGCTGGGGAGGAAGCTTAGTTTACCCTCCAGCAGAAAACAGAGCTCCAGATGAGATGATAACCCAAAACACTTTGAATGATTGCAACAAAAAAAACGTGACTTAAAGATATTGTGGAGGACGATCTTTTTCCGGGTGGATCATCAAAATAAGTGGTCCTCCTAATTGTCAATCATGCTGGTGATATGTTAACGTAAGGCCGTCCAACGTGCTCGCACCCATTTTCACTTACTGGTGGGGAGTCTGACATAGTGGAATAATTGCAAATCTTCTTTTGGAAAGTAATCTTGTATAAGCGATGCAAACAGCGAGTTTTAAACAGAGCGTGCACGAGGAGAAATAGGCTTGTGCACGCTCTTGCACACTTCTATAAGGTGTTCCCTCTCCAGCGGGTTCAGGGTTGTGCAAAAGCTTTTTTTTTTTTTAAGCAGAGAGGGCGAGTCTTTTCAAAAAATTTGTAAAAATCCTCTATGATACATTTACCGGTAATATAAATTGATATAAAATAAGACATTCAGATTATGTTTATAATTTCCCTTCTTTGACACATTTAAACAATTCTTTCTGTTATCTGTCATATAAAATCCCAAGAAATGATTTACTTGATGTAATGTGACAAAAAAAAACTATTGTTGTTATCATAAGGCACTGTGTTTATACCGCCAATAAATTTACTCCAACATGCAAAAACCTTTTTACTGTTTTTCGATCTGTGATCACCATGAAAAACATTTAAAACACATTAAGCTCATTTAAGCATAAAAACCCTTAAGGTAACGACTTAAGGTAATTTAGCTCTCTGTAATTTGCTTTTGAAATATACGTCCTGCTCCTTTAACAATAGGCAGGGCATTATAATTTGATCATCTACTCATTTACCTCCGATTGGCTATAAACAACAGTAAGAATGATGTGAAAGTGTGTGTCTGTGTGTGGATTTGGCAGACGGCTCCTCCTGTGAGTGTTTCAGTATTGCTTTGGACAGCAGGTTTCTAAAAGGCCTTTCAGGAGGCTCACCAGTAATTGTGCTTGGTCAAGTAAACTGGCCTGGACAGGCAGCTAAGCTAAGCAGAATAGGTGTTTTGTTTTACAAGCCCTTCAATACTTTGTCTTTAGGTAGGGTAAATTGTTACAGATCAGTTTAAAAGGTGACATCCTGAGCTGCCAGTTTAAGACAAGAATAAGATGTGATTCCCTTGCTGGTTAAATTGACTTCAATCTTTTAGTTTTGCTTTAAGGAATTTGATCCAAGGACAAAAAAACACAATGTAGCACTTGAAAAAGACAATGAACATGCTTCAATTCCACAGTGGAGGAAAACCTCTTCCCCCCTCGCTGCAGTCTTACCGCCATTTTGTCCGCCTGTTCTGAAACCAGGTCTTGACTTGTGCATCCGTCATCTTCAGGGCTTTCGCCAGAGTGGCACGCTCAGCCGACGCCAGGTACTTCTGTCGATGGAAGCGTTTCTCCAACTCGCAGATCTGCACCCGGCTGAAAGAGGTGCGGGGCTTTTTTCTCTTGGGCGGCGTCCGGTTCTGGTACGGGTGGCCGATGCGGCGGGTTACAGAGAAAGGTGAGAGGGCGGCTGGAAAATTGGGCGGGAAAAAAAAAAGTTTGACTTTTACAAAATTCAGCTTGATCATTTCATTTGTATCTGAAATTTGATTAGTAGAAAGTCACAGACACAAAATATAAAAAGCTATTTTCTAATGCCTGTTTTGTCTGAATGCTGAAAATGTTCTAATACAAAATGTAGATCAATATTTATGACTGATTCCACAAAATTAGCGAAGGCAATGTAATGCTTTAAAACAGATCAGCTGAAAGAGTGAAACATGGTTATTTAGTGGTTGGGGGTGACTCACCTGGGCAAGCCCCCTTTGGAAAAGGATAGTCTGCCAGAAGACCATTGCTGTCCCTCAGGTGAGCAAGCTCAGGATAATAGCATTTAGCTAATGTCTCCACCGTGCTCCAGACAGGGACCCTCCCGATGTCTCCCTTGGGGAGAGGACAGAGGGACCCGGCAGCCTCCGGCCCCCCTGTGGCCTCCCCAGCTCGGTTCTCCTCTGCCTCCTCCCCTAAAGGAAAGGGAGACACAGTCAGGTCCCACATCTGGAGTACAGCAGCAGCAGCAGCCGGGCTGGCACCGACCCATAGCAGCTAATCATATGAAGGAGGCCTAAATGATGAACAGACTCTACTTTAATGACATTTACTGCTGCTCTCTAAAAGTTGGTCTTTATAACCACAAAATGAGATATGTCTCATTCAGAGAAAAACGAGAGAGGACTTACAGGGTTATAAAGATAAATCAAACACAAACAGGCTGTCCATAAAAAGAACTTTGAATGAGCTTTTAATGTTAGAATGAAAAACTAATGAAATACAGAAGCTAGGAGCAGATTGTCCTTCAACAAAATACATAATAACTGATTAAAAACAAACTCAGTATTTGCACAAACATGAATTACGTCATTAAAGCTCTTAAGTGGTTACATCTTTTCCAAACATGCATATGCTTCAGATTTCCACCGCAGGTCTGATGTGGTGGTTTTTGATATGGGTGATATGGCTAACAACCCAGGGCGCACTTCCTGTAGGGCGTAATGGACAAATATTTATCCATTACGCCAACGAGAACTTTTCAATTGCTGTTTTGCATGTCCGGTAAATGGTGAGATGCTGGTCAGAGTTAATAAATATACGGCTGCAGATTGCAGCTATGCAATGAGGCTTAAAGGAATCTAATTCACAGCTTGGAACATGCCACTGTTTAAAAGGTTTTTTAATATGTTCTATGGTTTTGTAGACTGTTTCAGCTGTAAACTGGAGCTATAAAAATAAAAATCAGTTCTGGTTCAAAAGCGTAAATCCATCTACTGGTCACACATGAACTGGGTTATTTTAAATACACTTCAAGATGCAGACAAGCCTTATTTTGCTTTAAGCCTTTTAATTTCCATTTTAGGGATTAAAGCCTGGCCTAAATTAAGAGAAACACAACTTTCAGTTTCTTTTTCTCCATGTGCATCCCTTTAAAATGATAAAATAAAGATCTTACAGTTGGTGTTTTTCTTTTCTACGTTTTCACATGCTGGTTATTAATGACAACATATCCCCTGCATCATAAAATATCTATGAATCCTGTCTATTTTGTCAGCCCTGGGTAAACAGATGATCGATAAATGTAACGAGATCGTTGGCCAAAGATCCACTCTGCAGCTACAGTCTCCTTCTGAATGGAAAGTCAAAAGTAAATGAAAATTTAAATGCAATTTTTTTTTAAAAGCTGCGGATGTTTGTGTCGTTCTTTCCCGGCAAGCTGTTTGCTATCTTGCTTACAGGGTGTTTATTTGTTTTTGTTTTGTCAGAGAAGCTCACCAGGAGCAGAAATGAATATGAAAACATCTGCATAGGTGTCCCCCCCGGGGCTGCGTGCTGCTACCAGAGTTTCAGCGAGCTAAAAATTCATTTGCCCACAGACACAATGACAATTTGGATGGGAAATGGAACATGAAGCTATTACCCGCTCTGCAGTCATTTCCAAGGAGCTGCCAGAGTCCCCTGGTGGTGCTGAACACGATTGGCAAATTGAGGCACACACCAGCGAATGATTTGTAAAGAAAAGATGAGCAACTAGATTCTGCTCTAACGGTGGGTCACATAAAGTTTACATCAACGTTACGTAAATAAGCAACACACGCTGGGGGTATGACATGGAGAGCTGCACACTTGCAGCCAGCCTAACCCTGACCTCTCTGCTCACTTCTCTTATTGTTATTTTTAATGTTCTATTATATTCTTATTGGATCATAATACAGCTTCACATTACGTCTACATTGATAAGCGGTCAGTAATAATAAAATTGCAATTGCACCCAACTGATGCACCTTTTGGGGCATGCAAAACCCTCTCCTGTATCCAATCAAACCTTTACATAAACAAAACGAAAATAAACACTTTTATTTCTTTAACTTCACTGTAAGTGGTTTGCAACACCTTTACAGTCATAATGACTGACTTTTAGAGAAATTGTTGCCTAAATCAGCTTGATGCCTTGCAGGTCATGGAGGGAGAGCACAGAGGAGGCCTGTTGTTGCTCCCAGCAGCAGGTCTGGCCAAATAATCCTGCATTAGGAGGCTATTTCAGGCCATCTGCGGCCTAACTAATGGGCCAGGCGCATACGAGCACGTTCAGAGGCAACCAAACAAGCTGCAGGCTCTTTTGGGGATGCCAACTGCAGCAAGGCATTACTTTACAGCGTCTGAAACGCAGCTGAACTTGTTTTACATGTGTGCTGTTGTGATCTATGAGCCAGATGTAAAAGGTGGTATAATCTGAAGAATATGAGTGTATTAAAATAAAATGGAAATCTAATATCCAAAACACATTTTTTTTAAATAAATAAGATAATAAGGTCTTTTTTTTTTACCATTTGCCTTTGAGTATTATTCAAAATCACATAAAATGCTATTTTAAAGTAGGTCTCAGTAAAGAACTATGACCACAAACAGTAATGTATAAAATAAATATTATTCTAATAGTAATAAAAGCTTTTAGCTATTTTATCTCATAATTACTTATTTAATAGCGCCGACATAAGATCATCTAATCACTTTAACAGCTCAGTAATGAGTCTATGGAGCCGATGATTAGGAAGGATCACATTAAAACCCTTCAATGTAAAAGCAAATAATAGAAATTCTGCAGATTGATTTCACTTTCACTCTTTTATCAAATTAAAAATCGAAAAATTAAGAAAAAAAAAAAAGAAATGCGTTGGAAAAAAGAAAATCTCCTTCCTCTGTAACACAATTTAGCATACGCATTATCGAAAAAATAAAATGCCACCGTGGAGAATATGTTTCCCATAATAAAACCACTTATACTTAATAACACTTCTCGGTGACAGCGCCTCCCTTCCCCACTGCGGATATTACCTCTGCAGCAATCTAATAAATATATCCGCGAAGGATTCTAAGGGGGGATATTGAAATATAACGTGAACATACATTGCTATTTATTACACAACACGGAACAAAAAGGAGAGGACTCTGTTTTCCGTCACACTGATGGAAAAACAAGCAGCGCAGGGAGGAGTTATGCAGCTCTGAAGCAGAAATTTACTGCAGAGAGAAATGCTGTAATTATGCTTTATTGCTGCTGGGTGAATTATGGAGCTGCTCATCTGGATCCTCACACTGAAATGCGTCAATAATCCACATTATTGATGCATGAAAGTCAAAATCATTATTATTATTATTAGCGGATGTGAAGATTAAAAAATGCTCATTTCCTGGATTATTTAAATTTTGCTTGGAAATATTAAGATTTTTAACCTTTTTTATTGGATATACATTTTTTATTGTATATTAAAATGAAAACATATATATATCATATAACTTTTCCTTTTTTATTGATGTTTAAATTCACGTTTTTAATTTAGCTTAATGAAAAATGTGGACTGACTATTAAAAAAATATTTAGATTTCTCTTGATTTATTTATTTATTTATTCCTGCTTTCTATAATTATTTGGTCCAATTTAATATTAAGCAGGTGCGCATTTTCCAGAATGCGATAATAAGGAAACAATAACTTCAAGATTTAAACTCAATTTTTAAAAAGACACGTTTTATTTCACATTAGGGGATGAATTGATCATATCCATGGAAAATAAACGTAACATAGGACATAAATCAGCTCTGACTGATTGGGTATTAGATTATAACTCTCAGCCCATTTTACAGGCGCATTACTTGGGCTTATAACGTCCTATACATCTTCATTTCTTTTTTTTCTTTTTCTTTTTTTTTTTTTGCGTCTGGCTGACTGCGTTGGCCACCGTAATGAACGGTACTGAATTTCTGTCCCATATAAGATGAAAAACGAGAATCTGCTTCGCAGTTTAGCGGGTTTCGTTTACATCCCTGCAAAAGCAGCTCCAATGAGCGCCAGACTTGCAGCCCAAAAGGCGCAATGATTGAGCCGCGCTGGAGCGCACTTTGTCTCCTCCAGTTTCACCTTGGAGGGGCGATGGTGGAGGAGGGGGGGATGAGCAGAAACAGTAAAACCCACCAAGCAGAGGGATGATTTATAGGGTTTTTAAAACAAACACTGAGATGTTTCTATGTCCTGTTGGAGAGAGGATCACGGGGCGATGGAGCGGATCTTCTGCTGATCAATACAGAGGGAAGGATAGATGCAGGGAAATAATTACACAAAGCCAGGAGAAATTAAACGAGGGGCCCTCTGTGACTATGAGTAAAATTGATAAGTCTATTTACACTGTATCTTTTTGCAGATGACATATCGTCCACCAGTACTGAATAATTAATCAGGTAGAAGGAGGTGAAATATGAATATTTAATGCATGTAGAGTAGGGCGCATTTCCAGGATGTTTCATTCGAAAAATCAAGAGCTTATTAAAAAAAAAAAAAAAAATCGACCTGTGGAATTTTATGATAAACGCTTATCTCATTTGTTTAAATATTTTCCTACAAGTTTCAGATCTGATAGCGCTTTGTTTGTATTTATAGTTAGAGAGTAAAATTTATATATATATGAATGAAACATTCTTTGGATGTTTTACTCAGACTTTAGTTTTATTTGTAAAAGAAAGCGCTCTGTGTCACATAGAAATAAATTAAATCATAACGTTAGACATAAAAATGTAGAAAATGACTTTCATTTGGAAAATTATATTACACTGAAAAATAATCTGCAACCGTTTTTAGACTTTAGACTTTAGACAGATTTTGTTTTTCATTTTGTTTACAAAAGTGTAAAACAAAAAGAAATTTCGTTTGGAAACAGCTCACTGGACAATTTCTTTTTTTTTTAAAGTGCAGCCTTGAAAAATAGTAAAACTGACTGTAAATGTACAGTTCTAACCATTTTTTTTTTTTTTTTTTTTTTTTTTTTTTTTTTGGCATTTACTCAATCATATTTTATGTCCTACTCTGGTAACATGAACAATTCTGTTAAAGTAACTGATTAAGTAAATGAAAAAAAAAGGTTAAATTTTGTCAGTGTATTTTTTTGTTCAAAAAAAAATATATAGAAAATAAGAAATACATTAAAGTTTTATAATTTTGCAAAATTAGAAATATTATTTTTTTTAAATATAATTTATTTAGTCTACAATTAGAAGCAAGTGAAAATACATAAATAGTTGTATTTAAAATGTGTCGTCACACAGAAAAAAATGCCGTAAAATATTGAATCCGTTTATATGTAAAATATTATGAATGAAATAACAGTTTTAATCACAGATTATTATTTCTACGACTCATGCTTCTGCCTTCTCTAATTTATTTAGAGGAAGAAAAAAAATCATCCTCATAAAAGAAAAAAACGGAGGAGCGCCGCTATCAGTCATCCGCAGTAAATGGAGAGTGATTGTCCAATACTGATTCATCAGCACGTCTGTGTCAATTTCTGCTCTCGTTCATCAGGCTGTCCTTCCAGTATAATAAAAGTGATTCTCTGAGCGTCTGTATGATTCCATATAGATTAAAACCTAAAGATTAAAACACCAGCTACGCTTTAGTGAGATCCTCTCCAAGCCTGCGCTACTGATCTCTCATTTGATATTTATTATAGTCAGTGCGTAAAACTGAATTTTACAGGAATGAAAAATATATACATATAGCAAAATCATCTTAAATCTTTTTTTTTTCTTTTTTTTTACCTGTTAGTCTGTCCTTGGCAAACCTCCTACTGCTCTCCATCCACGGAAAGGTGAAGTTGGCCGGATTCCCCATCCCCATCCCGGCCACCGCGGGGATTCCGGGGGGCGGATGAGGCGCGGCGGCCGCTGACGGTGGAGGCGGAGGCGGCATGGGTCTGTGCGCCGGCACACGGATCACCCCGCCCGAGTTCCCGGAGTTCACATTCACGTTCATGTTCATGCTGACGTTCATGTTCATGTTGACGTTGTAGGAGCAGGCCGGGTTGTAGACGCTGTTGTAGCCGTTGCTGTAGACGTTGGGGGCCAGCGCGTAATCCGGGTCTCCAGTCCGGTTGGGCAGCATGCAGCCGCTGGACTGGTCCGAGCTGTTGAGGATTTGGTCAATTCCGAAGCTGATGGGCTCATGCTGCTGCTGGTGCGTCTGGTTCACCTCCTCGATCCCAGTGTGCTCCATACCTTTATTTCAACGATGACCTCGCTAGAAGTAGTAGTTTTTTATGAGTCTTGGGAAATAAAACAGGCGCTCTTACAGGATTGTTCTGTTTAATTAAACTCCAAGGAAACCAACAACGCGTCCAATGCTGTCCGAAATCATGCCATTATTTCTGTCCATCAGTTGGATCGGGTGTTTCCTAAATTAAATGCCAATCCGTCTGGCTGAGAAAAAGCTGAGCCTATCCATCTTTAACAGCGCTCTCTATCCAAGTGAATTACAAAGCAGGGAAGCGAGGAAAACCCGTCGTCGATGGGTGACGAATATCCAGAGAAGTTTACTCACTGACCAAAATCCGCGATTCTGAGAGGAAGCAGCTCTCTGGAGAGACTTGATGCGCTTTGTTCGCCTACTCTGGCAGAGGCAATCCATACGCAGGAGACATGGCAAAATAATCGAGTTCCTCAAAAACAGAAACAACTGGCTGACACCAGAAGGAAGGGAAGAACAGATGAAAAAAACAACAACAATAATAATAAAGCGCTGACCTCGCAGGCTTGGGTATTAATTGGAAGTGAGCGCTGAAAGAGGGCTCTGTGGTGCTGAATGGCGAAGTGCGCTCGCAAGCGTTTCAGCAGGTGAGACTGCCCTCTGCGTAACAGCGTAAAAGGCAGCCATTCGGTCCTCCAAGCAGCCCTCCCTCCATCTCCTCCTCCTCTTCCTCCTCCTTCCTCCACTAGCAGGATAGTTGTTTTGCTAGGATGTCTTAAAGAGGCCGCAGCATGTATTTGTGCAGCATTTCGGGTGTTTAATGATTTGCGCATTATAATTCAACATTATTGCGCGTTCAAATTGAAACTGAGACGCAATCTGCAGATCAGTATTTCGGTAGATCAAAATTGGATTTCTGTCTTTATGGTTAAATGGGTCAACCCCTAAAAATAGTAGGATTGTCTACCTCTACATGCATCACAAAATGCGTGCGCTTACGTTATTGTTGGATAATGTTGTTGCACAGCATAAATGAGGATAAATATGTTACCCCTTCATTTTTAGCTTGATTTAAACTTACTGCATGTATGAAATAACCTGAAACACCTTTTTCTTCTAAAATGTTTTATAGTGCTTAGAATGATAAAAAGATTAAGTCAAAAGTGAATTGATTTTGGCTAAAAATAACATTGACCATGAAAAGCCTGCCTAGTGCATCACTGAATTGAAATACTCCATTTTAATAAAAGAAAAAAAAATGAAATCAAATTTTTTATGTGTACGTTCAATAATTTAAAGGTTTCCTGAATAAATAAGTTACTGTAAGTTAGACATTTCATACCAAAATGAACAAAGAAATAAACACTCATTTGAATGCATTCAGAATATATATAAAAAAAAAATTAAATGAATTCTCACTCTAAAATTAATAATGAAGCCATTTATTAAAATTTGAACTAACTGACGGAAAATTTGAGATATTTTTTTTAATTTTGTTTTTAAATAACAACAACAGCGTAATTCTGTTTGGTTAATTTGCAAAAGCAGTTCACTTCCCACCTTTGATCTTCTCTAGAGCATCTTCAATCCCTCATATGCCCAACTAAGCAGATGCAAGATATGTTTAAGTATTATCTCAAAATTGATTTTAAAATTATTATTATTATTATTATTATAGAAACATTTCAGCTATCATTTAATATGAACATTATAGATACTGTGACACTTTTGGAGCTCCATAGAACTTTTGCAGTAAATAAATATATTAAAACAAACAAACCCTTTTTCTTCTCCTTTTTTCATCAGTATCAACATTATATAAATTCATTTCAGGAACACTGATCTGTGTGGTTCAGTAACTGGGTCACCAGACTGAAGGGAGCAAGGGTCACTGAAGTATTTGGATATCTGAAGGCATAAGCCGCTGCATTTGTTTTTGGAAACTTAAGGGTAGATACTTTTTTAAAGATCATGACCCACTTTGCATGTTCTCCATTCAAAATCGAGATAATGATAATCCAGCATAAATTATAATATAGTATAAAGAAAGCTGCACAAAAAAAGGAAAACCAGCACATACAAAGTCCAACGAGGCCAACAGGGCATTTTATCATGACCAGACCCAGATTGTTTGGAGCCCTGCACGTTTGCACCAATGCATTTAGCGCGGTGCTTGCGCTACAACGCAGTGGGCAGATTTATGCGAGTTAGGCGGGTTGAAGCAATAATTTGTTGCACTTTGAGGGAGAATGAAGCCATAAATTAGCTGGCATTGTCGGGAAGTGTGCAGCACATATAGGTCTGCTTAAAAGGCACTGATGGGCTCATTTCACTACATGATAGATAGATAGATAGATAGATAGATAGATAGATAGATAGATAGATAGATAGATAGATAGATAGATAGATAGATAGATAGATAGATA